CAGGTGAACAATTGACTTGGAGTTGCATGTGTTTGCGACAAGTGAGGACGGGTACTCAAACCTGTCGTTAACACCTGGTGTCATTACTGTTTCATAATGATTCATGAACACATGATTAACTACAGACAGAGTCTTAAAATGAGGTGAGGTGAAAGTGTGTTTAACGTCGTGCTTGAGAATATTTCGCTCATATGACGACGTGCATGCGTGTGTATGTGTATGTGCAGCTGCTTGTACTAGCCCAGACTTAAGCTGGTTTTATAGTGCTAGTCCACTGAGATACCATGCCGCAGTGAAGCATGAATACCCCACTCAGACACATCATACTGACTCCGAGCCGACCAGTCCTTGTTGTACCCATTAATGCCGAGCGCCAGGCGTCTTAAATTAACTCGTAGTAGATGTATGTTTTGAGTATAGAAATGTTTTTGTCGTTTTTAATTACAGACAAGCATTTTTTGCGAGGCGTGTCTCCAATTTCATAGCCTGTTATTGAATTTGTGACTCAGAAGCCAGTCATCAGTCCTATGTTCACAGTTTATGAAACTGCAGGGATATAAAAACTATATCTCAATGGCGGAAAGTAATATAATCTGAAACCTCTTGTTATTTCCGATCTGTACACCCTGTTCACATGTGCCTGATATTTCGACCCCACTTCAAGCCGTGTGCGTTTGTGATACTTCCGTATTGTATATGATTGTATAAACTTTAGCTCTAGGTACACTTTGCAACTGATACTATCTAAAGTCTCCCCACTAATTCTCACGGGGTTAAGAACCATTTAGGAGCCGTAAGGTAGTGTTGATGTTAAAGCCTTCTCGTTGTTACAGGGAAAGCTTGAATTTGACTCCTTGTATGAGGACATGTTTGAAGCCCATTTATGATGTACTCATATGGGGAATCGTGGTTCGAGCCCGGGTCTTCGGAGTGACGAGAGACCTTTAACCACTCGGCTACTCCACTGCAAGAAGATTTTGGGAGAAGATTTTAAAGTACACATAACGAAACGTTACTGCATTCTCGTTGTATTTTCAATGAGGAAGTTGACAGACAGCAAACTACAGCTATAACGAGTGAGTGAGCGAGTTTGGTTTTACGCCACACTCAGCAATATTCCACCTATATGGCGGCGGTCTGTAAATAATTAAGTCTGGACCAGACAAGCCAGTGATCAACAGCATGAACATCAATCTACGCAATTGGGAACCGATGACATGTGTCAATCAAGTCAGCGAGCCTGACCACCCGATCCCGTTAGTCGCCTCTTACGACAAGCATGGGTTACTGAAGATCAATTCTAACCCGGACCTTCACGGGTCGAGCTAAAACGAACTCAATGGGTCCACTACATTTAGTTCGTTATAACCGTAGTTCGTTATATCCGCAGTTCGTTATACGCATTTCTACTAAAATATACAGCAGGTGACTTGGAGGTAAAAGACACAGTTCGTTATATCTGTCATTATGTTATAGGCCTGTTCGTTACATACATAATTTAAGGTAAACTCCAAATGATGACATTTTGTTTGACCATTCTGTAACAAGTACAGCAAAATACAGGAGCAAGGTTGCAACGCTGGAGTCCCAGCATCATGTGTGAGTGAATGAGTGAGTGAATGAGGGTGAACCTCACATCTGAAGTCATGATCACAGGATCATGACATCTCAAAGGGATGCGACTCCGCACAGAAACTCAAGGCTTCGTCGACCACTAATGCGTCTCTGATTTCATCTCAGCATCGCTGGTTATGCTGTAGTCTCCACGAGTCAATCAGCAACAACTACATGTCAAAGGGAAACTTCTAAGTTCTGTAAAATACCCTCTACAGCACATGAAACTCCATTATGTGGTTGCTCCTTATGAAGATCTTTCTGACGGAGGCCACTGGGCTGGTTAAATTTTTATCCTTTCGCAAACACTATTTGATGGTGATTGATGAACTGATGGCAGTGATATGAGGTGAAATGAAGTTTAACGTCCCGTTTATACATTTATCTGTTACTACTTATATACTGTGTACATTTTGAACACATTTTGAAAATGCTTCATATCATTTCCAGCATTAACTATTTTGCTAGGGATGCAAAGAGAGTCTTTAAAACAATCAATCCCCTTTTTTATTGACTCTTGTAATACCACAAAACCCTGATAAATTGACACCTCTTATGTCTGCCACTGAAACCGGATAGCTGAACTCGCCCCACTCAAGACAGTGGTTAATGCTGTTTACACAAACTTTAAAATTTGGAGGACTGGTTTGGGAGGATCAATAGAATCCCACCGCGTATCTTTTGATATCAAACATTCCTCAGAGTTTTAAACTTTTATCGTCTCGTGTTTATATATTGGATATCAAAACGCAAGAAAAAATCTCAATGTAATAAAACAGTCCATGTATATACATTAATGAGCAAAGACGTAACAAAATATATACCGGAAAATGCAGGGATATAAAAGTGTTCGAGAACAGTAACGTATTTCGCCGAAATGTTATTGCGGTAAATCTGACAGACGGAAGGAAGCCGTGCGAGTGACCGAACAATGTATTTCCTTGTTTCTTGTAAACGTGACCGTCAAGGGCGTGGTGTTGTAGATTATAATGTTCATATCATGTTCATAAATAACCTCTTCCTCTTTTGTTCTGAAACTTCATACCCCTCGAACCTATATATGTTGAAACCGGATGCATTGACAGTTTGTTCTGCAAACGTTCAGAGTGTCCCATTCCTATTCTACTGCATTAAAACAAGCTTACATGCTCAGGTTTGATTTGGAATTTTAATTTCCTAACAACAGTATAAAATTAATTTAAGATAATTTAACCAGAATGATGTCCGGTTTGTGTTCGAGGTTTTGCATTGAGAAAAAAAATCAATGGAGCTTAAACTTATTAACTTTTATGTGCGCGATAGTTTCATTATGTTTGAAGAGATTTTCGTGAAAGTTTTTGTCTCCCGGCATATCTGCCTGGTCGACCAAGGACAGATAAATGGGACTTACAGGATATGAATATCAAATTGAAATCTAGAAAAGGGGAAGGATGTTTACTCTTATATGATAAAGGTTCAGCAATGAGGAAAGTGTGCAGTATAACTTTAAAATTCATTTTATAATTACTAACAACAGCATTTAGAATGTTGGTTTGGGAGGAGGAATGATGTGTGATGGGTGGGGGTAAGGTGGTGGGTGGTGATGGGTGTGGGTGGTGGTGGGATGGTGGGTCTTTATGCAAACAATTAAATTGTAAACTAGTTTTAACGAAGACAGCTGTAATGAACAATCGGTCACACGACAAATCCCAGTGGTTAAGTATTACTTTCAAAAGGAGGTATGTGCTCAGACTAATATTACTTTGAACAGGAGTAATAGGCTCAGACACGAATTACTTTAAATAGGAGGTATATGCTCAAATGAGCTGTACTTTGAACATGTTGTGAATGGTCAAGCAAGTATTCCTTTTCCTCTGGTCCTGTTACAACAGTTAACTACATCTCTAAGTGGTACGAACTTTGGGAACTGTGCTTTCAATACATACGTTTATTCTTTCAGCACATTATGTCGGTATATGTGCTGGTACATTTAGCACTTGCTGCTTACTTACTCAAGTAAACCCATTTCCATACAAACATAACAGATTTCATTAAATACATAGGAACACAACCTACACAGTTTACCAATACCAGTTTCAACTTCAGACATTGGTACCAGGATGTCGAGCTTAGTAATCTTAACATACATGAACGTGGCGTCAACTCATAATCTTCTGTCAATGTTAAATTGTTTGGCTACTATGTTCAGAAGCACAAGTATCTATAAGTACCAGGTGTCTACAAGGTCTTGAACATGTAACGACCAACGATTTACCTTGAGAAGGATATCCGTGAAACACTGAGAAATATCACCAACAGGCCCTTGACACCACAGCATAGAAACAATCAATAAGGATTTTTATTAACGTGAGCGAAGATGTCTGCTTAGCAAACTATCCCACAAATTCCTGTGTAGAATGTTTACTGATATCCAACGTGCTAAAGAGCCACATGCCATATTCATACAAACGGTATCGAAAAATCGAGTAAAAGAGACAGTTTCAATAATGCTGTTTGAGGATTGTTTTCTCTATTGAGCGTAAATAGTGTTTCGCTGCATGGTTTAACAGACCAGTGGAAATTATACAGAGTGATGTGTGTGTTTTGAACAAAATTGAACCATCATTTGAAGATCATTTATACTTGTGACTACGTAAGCAGTAATTCCATATTGCCGGTACTCCATGAACCGGGTCATGACCTGTCAAACTGCTTTAATATACATACACAGTATATAGTAAGTGTTACATGTTATTATTCCAAAGGTAATTAGTGTTACTATGATCTATACACACCACACCGGTCATGTATACAGTAGAAGTTGCCATGAACACCTTCGTATTATGTAAATACTGGAAGATTCAAATATTCTCAAAAAGTGAAAGTAGGCTACAAGGTTATAAGAAAAGTACATTTCTACATATGTCATTTGTGTGATTTCAAATTCAAAATTACAACGTTGCAGCAACACTTAAACATCAACAAGAGTTGGTACACAATATAGTCATGGTGGTATGGAAAATGTTATACAAGTTTCGAATGTACATGATAAGATATGAAAGTGTCGCATTTAAGGAATAATGAATATGCAGTTAAAGTATTATTTGAGCGTTGATTTGGTTATATGAAAGGGAGTGAGTGAGCGCGTATGGTTTCACGCCGCTTTTAGCAATATTCAGCAATATCGTCATGGACACCAGGAATGGGCTTGACACATTGTACCCATGTGGGGAATCGAACCCGGGTCTTGAGCGGACGCTTTTACCACTAGGCTACCCCACCGCCCCTATATGCAAGTGAACGGTCGCAGTTCGTTGTAATCTTAATGTAAGAACTTGTTGCATTAATACATGTTACATAGATATGGAATGGTGTGGTAGGATACAGAATATAAAGGCTAGCCTCACCTGATGCGATGATGATAGTCTTGGGTGTCATCCCTCCAAGGGAGAAGCAGAGGTTGGTCAGGATATATACAGAAAGGAGAATAAAATCCATGATCACAGTGTCCTGTATACTACAGCTATGCACAAGTGGCAGCACAGACCACTTCCGAACTTCCAGGTACCATCTTTTTCATTGTTTAACTGACAATGAACTTAGAAAGAGGTAAACGTGATTTAAATGTCGACATCACTCTATTAAAGCACGCTCGGTCAGGTGGTTATTCGTTCAAAGCGCCCGGATCGTTGTAGACACATGCAGCAGAAGTCAACACCATACCAGAGGGTCGACATATCTGTTCGCTGAGGATGTTCCTTTTGTTTGAGGTGCTCGGCCAGCCAATCAGAACAGTGTCGGCTGCTGTGCGCGTTGGATGCATTCAGCCCGTCAGCTATATCACTTATCCTTGTTTAGGGCATAACTTTATTGAACCAAGCCCGGAAAATGTATTTGAAATCCGCTTCCTCTGCACTCATGCCTTCAGTATCGTCTGCTGAAGCGAACAGACGACGCTGGCGTCATAGTGCAAGCAACAGTTGTCGTCTGCGCTTTACCGCCCGGTCAATATTGACCATCTCTCAAACACAACTCAAAGAGGAGCCTTACATGGTCGATGTGTTATGTTTACTGATGTGACAGATGCAACTATGAACCATTTGCTTTGGTGTGATAATTACATTTTGATATTTACAGTTTTTATTTGTGACTCGCTCTTGAAGGCCGTTATAAAATGAACACAGAGATTGTCAGCTGACTACTTTTCACTGACCTGGACAGTTTGTTGGTGTTCTCGTTAAACATGCCAAGGTTGTCATTAACAATTAAGTGGTTAGTTTGTTGATTAATCAAGTAGTTATTGTCTGGGCGTAATTAAGTTCAAGGTAATAAGTATGCTTAATACAAGGAAGTAACAGACGAAAGTCTTTACCTGTTGACGAGTTTATAGCTTAAGAAGATTTACAGGTAGGTCATAGATTTGATATTCATGTGTTATAATGTTAATCAATATTGTCAAAGAAAATATGGAATGTCATGTCAACATCGTTGTTTTCCCTTCTAAATGAAATAAGTGACAGATCTGCACACAACTACTGGCACAATGTTATCCTGTATATATAGTGAAGAATTTCCGCTATATTGTAATAATGCCAATGTTATAACTCCTACAAATGATACACAATTCAGTTAGAAATGTCAGTAACACGAAAAACATTTCATATTGCAAGTACACTTATAACAGGGAGGAAAACAAAGATTTAATTTTGTCAAATAGTTTCTATTGACTTTCTTGATAAAAAATGTCAATAGATCAAGAACATATACTGGGTTTAGTCCTGTTTGCAATATATTTATTATGATAATCATCATTGAATATTTTAAGAAAATATTGAGATGACTTCTCAAATACAATTTCTTTATTTATAATGTGTTCGGAAATACAAACGATGTATATATGTTGTTATAGAATGAAGAGGAAATATATCTAACATTTTCGATCGCACACATTAAAGAGTCATCTTCATGCTGAACGAGACACAGAGTTCGAGAACTTGAACCAAACACGTCCTTCAAAGAGATTGAGATCTTCAGCAAATTGACAGTATCCTTTACTATGACGTAAATGAATCGCGGACGTAGCGTTCTAACAGAAATGAAATCTCCATACCCGTAGAATATTTTTCGTCCATTTGCATTTTGCATACAGCTGCGTAAACGACCAGGGTATGTGAAACGACTGGGTCATAATCTATACACCGGCTTGGACCTGTAGGACAGTGTTGACAGGCGGATAGGTGACAAACACGTTGCATCAATATAAACACATTTTCCAGGTCTTACTCAAAAGGACACCTCAAAGTGACATTTGAGAAGATCATTCGCTCCTGTTCAGGCTTTTTGTTTTGAAGTGTTAACGGAGCTGGTGAAATGTCTTGAAAGCTTTTTACTTTTTTGAAATTCATTTGCAATTTGCCTGATTTGTTTTATATTTGTTTTTGGAAGACGTGATGCGAAAACAATGGTTGTGAGATAATCAGCTGAACTCTGTTGTGTACTCTGGGAACATTTCAAGTTGAATGTATTTTGATCTGGTTGAGACAAAGTCCTTGTGGTTTTTTAAGCCTTCGATTCTGACGTGTTTTACATCCAGGGAGACAAAAACGACAATCATTTTAGATTGGGTAATTTTGTTTTGAAACGCTACACTCCTGAGAAGGTTCGGTCTTACATAATCTAGGAATTGTGCCAAATTATCATTGCCTTTGATACTTGTGCAAAACTATTGTGATGGTGTGTTGATCGTTGTGACTAATTTCTAGATTCGGGTTTCTACAATTAAACTTATGCATCTAACATAGAAGAAGAAGAAGAAGATGATGATGATGATGACAACGACGATGGTCATGGTGATGGTGGTGGTGGTCACGACGACGATGGTGAAAGTAATGATGGTGATGATGATGATGATGATGATGATGATGGTGGTGGTGACGACGACGATGGATGAAGGTGATAGTGATGATGATGATGATGATGATGATGATGGTCTTGGTGGTGGTGATGACGACTACGATGGTGAAGGTGATGATGATGATGATGATGATGATGATGATGATGATGATGATGATGATGATGATGGTGATGGTGATGATGATGATGATGATGGTGATGATGGTCTTGGTGGTGGTGATGACGACGATGGTGAAGGTGATGATGATGATGATGATGATGGTGATGATATAAGATTATATAAGTGTCACATATTTCTAATAAGGCTTGATGTCGGAAAAGGAACGCCGGGCATTTAGGCATGTGTGACACCAAGTTCACAAACGAACACTGAATTTAAATACGACAATATATTCTATACAATCGAGATTCCACAAAACTAGCCCATTATCATACCAGACTCCACCACGCACAGCAACCTGTAACTTGACATAATCATCACTATTCATCAACCGGACTGAAACATGTATACTAGTCATTTGTCATTGTAATTACTAAAGTAATTATAGGGATAAAGAAAAAAGAGAAATAATTCCGCAATATTTTCCCACACAACATTTTTGTGACGAATTATATTTGTTGTGAGAAAAATCTTCAAAACATTCATTATGCCAGCCCAAGTTACAGCACCCACGCGCAACGTGTCGCTATATGACGAACCTAAAATTTGTTTGTTGTTGGTGAACGCCGCACTCAGCAATATTCCAGATTTTTGGCGGCGGTCAGTAAAAATACAAGTCTGAACTAGACAATCCAGTGATTGGCAACATAAACATCAATCTACGTATTGGGATACCATGACATCTGCAACTAAGTCAGCGAGCCTGACCACCCGATCCCGTTAGTCGCCTCTAACGACTAACTCGCTGAAGACCAATTCTAACCCGGGTCTTCACTGGTGACGGTAAGAGTAAGAGACCCTTCTAAAAAACATATGTTATATTTGGGATTAATCTTTCTAGTAAAGTACAGATTCCATTACGTTTGGGGGTTGAGTCGCATCCGGGATTCAAACCCACGCCCTCAGAGCCAGGCACCTAAAGGCCTAACCCATTCAGACACCGCGGCTTGGGACTCAACAAAAGTACTAGAATCTGTACTTTACTAAGAAAGTGTAATCCCAAATATAACATATGTTACATTTGACCACTTTCTAAATGGCATTGCGTATTCATATAAAAAAGAAACATTCTTTCGGTTTCAAGAATCGGTATCGACATTCCACGTGGTTCAACATATTGTGATTATCGATCACAATAGTGAGATATCGATCAGCCCTCATGATAATAACACAATCTGGACAGGATTATATTACGATGTATTAAGAGGCAAGATTTCAACAGCGTACACTGTACCTAACTACTATCATCGTATATCTTAATTCATTAGGTATTTGAAACACATCCGTAAAGCACAGGGTCCCGATCCACAAAGCATTCGTAACGTTACGACCTCTCGTAACTGTACAGTTTACCATATGCCTAAGAACGCCATAGCGCTACGAACACTTCGTGGATCGGGATCCAGGGCCTAGATTTTCGAAACGTTCGTAACCCCAAGAATTCTTAACTTTGATCGTAGGCAGTGTGATACGAATGGGCTTAAGTAGTTCGCAGGGCTACGAACGTTTCGAAAATCTAAGCCCTGGGCCCTTTTTCACAAAGCGAATGTAACACTGCGACTGTCGTAACTCCTATTTTTTAACTATGATCGCTTTGTGAAACGGAGCACAGGTGTATAAACACATGCATGTTAAACAGAACCCTTTATGCGTACCAGAAATCTGTGATCGGGTGGTTCGAATCCCGAAAAGTGTTTCTTGGTTTGTCAGTACGATACCGAAGCTGACATCCCACTGATCACGTGGTATATCTGGTGTACTGTTCAAATTGATGTTAAACAAAACTCAAACACTCACAATTGTTTCGTTTTTGTTTTTTTGTTTTTAAGGCGGGGGTGGGATAATTAACGTCGGGGATAGTGAAACCTTAGATCCTTGAATGTGATTTTGGAATTATGTCTCATATAAAGTAAGGAATTTCTGCGTGTCAACTTCTTCATCAAAGGAAACACTGAGTGGCATTTAGAACTAATACAAATTAACGAGAGAGTTCATTGACGTCAACGTCTATATTATAAGGAACGTTTCTCTCGTACACTTGTATCACTTCTAAATGCCATTCACAGATTTAAGTTTTAGATACATTATGCTGCTAGAGCCGTTATTTTTCTGTTTAATACTCCGGTAACCATGACGACATTCACATCTTTCAGCACTGGATAAACCCCGGTCGGCGGTACTGGTGCGGTGGGATATCACATCAATATTTTAGATATTCAGTTGTTAAGATCAGTGACATATGGCCAGTCCCATCGTGCAATCTCAAGGTAATAACAAAACATGCATTATTAAAAGACAAGCGATCGGGATGTGTTTCTATGCAGGCATGTCTAAAGCAGTTGATCTTCTGGGAGATTATCGATCTATTTTGATTGACTTCCTGTTCAATGTCGGAATGACCTATCTGAGACGTTATAACACTGTTCCCTTGTAACATGAATCGTTATGCTAATACATAGTTAAGTAATTGGGTTTATAAAGTCTGGTTGTATTGCTGCGTGTAAATGTTTTGGAGGTGATAAGGATGAATATATTTACTGTATAACATAGTCCCGTCAAAACCCATTCCACCAAACAAGCCATTGAACAACTGATTGCCTTGTCACTTCAACCTATATATGCGAAGATATCATCACAAACAATCTCTCTCTCTC